CTGGTCAGCCTCCTATCGCATTCTCAACTAGCAGAACTCTGTTAACAAATCTCTAGACACAATTGAAGTGACTGCTGTCATTGACAGCCGACAGCTACCTCTCGCGAATGGGAAGAGCCGAAATCTTCAACAGCCTTGACTGGATCGGACAACCCACTGTTCCTATGGACATCGATTCTGCATGGTACGGGTCATCTCCCATGGAAACAGAGACCAGTCGCCCTGGCAGTCGCTCTGGATACTATGGCACGAAGCCAATGGTCACAGAAACCCACGGCCGTCGTACATGGTAGTCTTGTAAAGGAAAGACGGCGGGAAGCTTGTTTGCCGTCACAGGCTTGTACGTTGGACTTCCATCTTAGTGTACTTTTGTTTGCAGCACATGACATCGGAGCGAACTATAGTATTTCAGCTCCTGATTTCATGTCGATGGATGGTGGAAATTCCCAATTTAAGTTCTTGGGTTGGCGAGACATGCACTATATTGGATATTTCGAGCGGCGCTTATTTCCATGTCAAGTGGTGAAGACGTATCAACTTTTATTTACCTTACAAAACGTCACCTGTCCCCTAATATAGGGCCCGAATCACGTCTTGACGACGTCCAGAATGCATCAATAATACCAAGGCTTCCGTTTTCTCTGACTATGACACATTCCCGCCTCAACTCACTTTCCTCAGCTCTGACCTGCTGACAACGCAAGCCAGCTAACCGCGCCGGATCTCCAAGACATCCAAAGACCCCTGAAAACGACAGGCCCCTTATGCTCCATCTCTTCCGCAATCTCAGAGACAAACATTCCCGCAAGCCCCCAGTCCGAAAATGCGCCAGTTCGCCTCGTGGCCGCTCTCCGGTTGGATTGAGGCGGGACACGCGCAGCTTCATATCAAAAGCGTAAGGGTACGACATTGGGCAGAAGAAAATAGTACCCGAGACGCGCCGACTTGCGCGGAACTGCTCCCTGTAATGAGAAGCACACGTGCCTGAATATACACATGTCGGCTCATACTGAAGCCGGCCGCCTGCGATGCTACCGTGATATGACGTATCTATGACACATAAAAAGAAAGGACATTAACTGTTAGACCATTAACCACACGCCCTATCACCGACAAATCAACAAAGAGTCGCACCAAAACGGCACAAATATCATACGTAACTTCAGTCGTGCATGTCATTTCTACGGCTCTCTAACGCTATCTATCAAAAGGCAAAATGCACCCAAATGCTAATACCAACCACATAATCAAACCCCCAAAGTCACCATACGCCTCGGCGCCCATATCCAGAGCGATCCCGTTGGAGACGGAACCATGCAGAATTGACGGTCCTGTCCAAATATGAAATGATACGCTCCTTATCCTTGACCCTTCTGCCTGTGTACCTGTGCATAACCCATGGCCTGCTATGCCATTTTACGAAAACGCCGTGCGATAAATTGAAACCCCGCTATGCTAGAGAAACGACCATGTCGAGTGGATCGTGACGATTTCGCTCGAGTACATCTTCACTTTGCATCGTCTTCTTCGTCTTCTTCTTCGTCGTCGTCGTCTTCCTCTTCAAAGTCACCCATGTCCTCTTCGCTATCGCTGCCTCCAAAGTCTTCCTCTTCATCAGACATGTTCCAGAAGTCGGCATCGTCATCGACGGGCTTGACCAGTGTAGGCGCTAGGTCGGCGGCTGTCGGCATTCTGGTATCAGATGGGATGTCTGCCTGAGTGCGGTCAACAACTTCTTTGGCACGAGAGTTGTATTCTTGTCGCTTATCGCGGTAAAGAACGCTGGCGTCAACGTTGGCAGGGGAGTTGATTTCAGGATCATCCATTAGTAGAAGAACTGATCGAAGGACAGACTCGACGCCGTGGAGCACGTTCCATCTCTCGCTCGCCGACTCGCCTGATTGTTCGTCTTCGCCCGGTCTATGGAGAATGGAAATACATAGGTGGCCGTCTGCGTAGACATTTGGATGGCAGATGTTCTTGGTGAGGAATTTGAAGGTCGGTGGTTGATAGGGATATTCGGGAGGGAAACGCATATCGGCCTGTATAAGGATTTGTCAGTTGGGTGGTACATTTCCCATCGTGACTCATGTCGTCTAGAATGCACACGTACGCGGAGATAGGCGCCATGCCAGATGCTGTCGGGGTTCACAACCCAAAGCCCGATCTTCCAACGCAGAAGATTGGTCTCGTCAGTCTGCCAAAAGTCAGTGTCGCCGTTCTGGAAGAATCGTGACGAATGTTCCGCCGCATCGCACCTCAATAGTTACCCATTTCTCCTTCTCAAGAGCCTGCAACTCCTGCATCAAACGCCTTTGAGCCATGGTTGCTATCGGTCCAGGCACCAGAATGAAGACTGCAATCAGGATTCGGGTCCGAGTCTAGGTAGGCCAAGCAGTGTGACGAGTCTGGTATGAAGTACCAGTCGGGAGTATGAAGTGCCCAAAAGGGCTGAGGCAGAGGGGGGCTTTTTGTGAGGGGCGATGGACGGTCCGAGGGTATGTGTGAAAGGGGTGCCGAAGGAATGAATGTTCAGAGTAAGGCTTGAGTCAAAGGCAGATGCGCGAAACAAAGGGCTGTAGCTTGTTGGGCGACTGTTGCAGGTGCTTTTGGGAACGGCTTGCGGTTCTGTTTAATTCGAGATGATGAAGTCGGGCGAGGCGGGACGGAAGTGATCACTTCCAAGTCTCTAGAGGAACATTGGCGTCCACGTCTGCCCAGGTGGTCAACCAGTGCATCAGGTGGCCGCCACACGCGCTGGTGCACACCTACCAGCGGATGTCACTGTCGCCTCGAATCATGACGCCTCCAGTCCAGTCAAGCCCCCCGAAAGTCAAATGCTCGGGCGCCTCGCTTCCACCAGACCGTTCGCTACCAGTTCAGTGTTGATGTCAAGTTCCATCTCCACACCCCCAAGGCATCCTGCCTCGATGTTGGGTCCATGTTTGCCAGGCAGCCAGGTTGCGGGTCTTGAGCCAAAGCCAAATGCACCGATACCCAGCAACAAATAGTCATCTTGTGAGATACATCAACAAGGCGCCCAAAGATGGCCCAAGACCGGCTCTCCACGTCGGGTACATCGAGGCTCGAGGTTCCGGAGGGCCGGATCAGCTCCACAGTCTGCTAATTCTGGTACTACCAAGGTCCCTACCCTACTTAAGTAGGTACCTTGGCGCGCCAAGGGGTTTTCTAGTGACTATCCTCTGGCTATCATCTATCACAAGACAGGTCTTGCGGAGGTGCGTTGGGTGTATCCAATTCTGCTTCTAGTCTAGTAACACTGTATTTGGCCGTACCTAGGCCAGGGAACCGTAACTAACTACGCAAGTCACCATGAACGCATCGCGATGCGCCAGACACACTAGCCGATGAGCTAGCTAAAAAATGAACACTGTGAGCTAGTTTTATCCTCATTGCGGAGGGAAGAAATATTTATAATAGTAAAAGTCTTAATAATCTTAAGTTATATAAAGTTACTTTATAATTAACGTAACTTGAATAAAATGAAACAGCACACAGGATGGTCTGCAACTTCTGGACATGCAAACGTTGCAAGAAGAGGATGCCGAAAGAAGAGAGGCATCTACACGTTCTTTTGTGGGACGAAGTTCTCCAGCTTGTGCCACCTCCGTTGAAACGAAGTGCCCCAAGTGCCAGAAAATATTTGCCAACCCCGAAGAACACTCGAAGAGCTGCGATTTCTGGAGATGTAATCGCTGCAGATCCTCGTACCCCCTAGCACGGAAAGAGTCACGCGCAGAGGAGTGTGCCGAAGCCCGACCGGCTTTCTGCAGCAAGTGCGGCAATTTCATGTCAGCTACTGAGTTCGAGCAACACAGGACGACTTGTCGCTATCAGTCGTGCCCGCAGTGCTGTCTCCGCCTACACCCGGATGTGATCGACACTCATATTAAGAGTTGCCACCAGACAATATGTAGTTCCTGCCGTGCCTATGCTGAATGGCGCATCGCGTCTGTTCTCGTCGCATCAAGCTCGTCTTAAAGCCAAACTGCTGATGTTCCCGCATCAGCTCCTTCCCGACGACAATCAACGTGCCTTAATTACACCCCGACAAGGCAAATCGAGAAGAAACCAACCGACGCATCTCTGTCTCCAGGCCTGCTTTTAGGCAATAGCGACGGCATCTACACCTCCAATGATGGACAGCCCAGCCGCGAGGACAGTCACAAAGGCATCGGTGCACCATCTTCCCAGATATACAGATGAGAAGAAAGCATACAAGAGGGTGTATTAGCGGTGCCTCGGCCCTGTTTAGAGAGAGAGAGTTACAACTAGCTTAAGCTAGCCTAAGAAATTGGCTACATTTAGCTGTTAGTGATAAAATAATGAAGGCGCTTACAGATATAATTTTGAACACTAGTTATAAAAGCAGGGTAAGTAGGTAGCAGGTGAGAACTTGGGCACTTACCCGTCTGGTGAGTAGCAAAGCACCAAAGGTAAAGTACCTAGTACTTTAGCTTATTTGCGTCCTCGTACAGAGCCAGTTCTCACCCCGAAAATACCAGACCAGACAACATAATTTCTCTTTGTCATTTGACGCTATCACCCAGCTGCATCGTTAAACCCCACATTCATCAATAGCCCAAACACAAACACACATTGAATGATATTCTTGTGCTGACTTGAGACATTCATCTACTCAAGTACTTTAAAAAGCTGTGCCATTCTTATGAATGAATGTGTGCGAGTAAGCCTGTGTTGGTTTTCAGCTGCCTCTCACACTTTCACCTCACTTTTACGTGAAAGTGTCATGAGTTGTGTCATCCTCCTACAGGAGTGCATCCTTCCGGCTTGTTCCATCGTACCCAAAACGAAACGTGAGAGGCTGTGATTTGGTCGGACCGGCGTCCCCGAGAGACAATAGACTTGATCGGTGTACGGTGCAGAGCCTCAACACCCGCTTATGCCAAGTCCCCACAACGTCCACCTCTCCAATTCGATCCCCAACTCCTGCCGAAAAGCCCTTGCAACACGCCATCTTACGCACTCAAATCATAGTACACACAGGTACCGGTGCGAAAGTTGTATATGAATGCATGCTTAGAGATGCTCTTCATCTCATACGTCGACCGCCAAGTGTCGAGCTGTGCGTGGAGTTCCCGGACATACTTCTTCTCCGTCATGGTCACTGCATGTTCCACACTCTTCCAGCTCTCGTGCTCAGAAAGTCTTGTTTCTCGGAGAAGATCCATGACCTGGTCCGTAGTCTCTATAGCCAAGATCGGTCCATCTAGGTAGCTTCGCATCAAGTTACTAGCGCTGACTTGAGCCTGGTCCACCACGGTCCTGCGATTGAACTTCTTGCTCTTGGTACCAGCAACGAGAACCTTGACGTCCTGATCTTGATTTCGATCGCTATTATGAGTCCCACTAGATTCGCCGCCGTGTGACACATTGCCTCTGAGTTTTGCGAGAGCCCGGGAATCGCGCTCCTTGAGTTCAGGTCGAAGCCAGGCCATTAGCTGGCTAAGCGGAATATCCACGTCTTGCACGTCTTTTCGATTCATGGTTTTGATCTTGAGCATTGCTTCTGGCTTAATCACAATGATCCATGAGTAATTCTCGTCCCTGTGCTTAGACAACAAGTCTTCGGGAGAACGCGCATCCTTGGCCATTTCCGCACTGATGTCATGGTCCCAAAGAAGCTGGAGAACTTCGATACCGGTGGACCGAAGAATAGCTGCGTCAAATGAAGCAACAAGCACTTCGCACTATCATATATGAGTATTTGTGACAGAACTCCCCCAAGCATCGAATGCACTTACTCTTTTTCCAGTAAATATCGTATTGGAATCCGACTCCTGCTTCTTGAGAAATGTTTTGCTTCCACTCTTGTTGGGAACACGAGCCAGACGTTCCCAGGCGAGACTAAACCCAACGGCATGCCTCTCTTCAAAGTTGCCGCCAATTTTTGGGCGTTGCTCTTTGATGAGGTGATCGTATCGGCCACCTGCAGCAAACACGTCTCTGGTCTTTCTATCGTAGACGCAGGAGAACATAATTCCACCCATGAAAAAGTTTTCTCTCAGACTGTTGAGGGGGCTAACGTATAATTTGCTTATCACACCAAATCGTTTGCAGTACTCTGCGACCTCTTTGAGGTGGGCCATAGTTGACACCGCCCTTTGGTACAAATCACTGCCCTCAAACAGCACCTTGAGCTTTGAAATTACCTTGTTGGGGGTGTCTAATTGCGATTAGTCTTTTATTATTGCATCAGCAGTCTCGCCGCTTACCTCGAAAATCGAATCGCTGGAGCTCGTCCACGCTTGTGGCCGACACGCCTACAGTTGTAGATCGCAACTCCGCCCTAACCTTCTGCCAGGTATGTCCATGGACATGCAGTTTGCTCAGCGCCTCAGCAGCCTGTCGTCTACACGAAGACTCAACTCCACAGTGGTCAAAGATGAGTTGGAGGAGATCTGAGTGACCCACTTGAAAGCACATCTGAGCATTCGATAATGACGGAAACGCTTGAACGATTTCGTCTAGCACCTTCAGCACTTCTGCCTCCTTAAGAGCGAGGTCAAGTGTGTCGGTTGTGACGATGTCAAAGTCAACCTCCCCAAACATGTACGGCTGGCCTGTATCTAGCCTATCACGGTACACGTTACTAAAGTAGAATGATCGCTGCAATATGGGGCCGCCAGCCTGTTTTGCAATCATTCTGGCGTTGCCCATGGTCAAATCAAAAGGAAGCTGCAAAACAGTCCCGTTGGAGTCCAAGACCTGAACGACATTTTCACCATACTGACTTGAGCGAGGATAGATTGAGGTCCGAGGCATTTCTAATGCTCCGTGCCGTCGAAAGATGGAGATCAGGGTGCTCCGGACCACACCCTGATTCAAAAGTTCGCTAGCGCTAGGCTGAGTACCAAGCATGTCCCAAGCATAGTCTTTGGCCGCATCCCGAGGTCGTGCAAACAGCGTCGACAGCATCTTGCTATAATACGGCGAGCTAGGATCGGCTAGACCTGCAAGGGTTCGTCGAATAGTCTCACTCTCCATCTGCACGGGGAGCTTGCCGCTCTTCAACAAATCAGCACTGGATGGCCTATCCTTGGGATTGTGATTGACCAGAGACAAGACAATGTCTGTCTGTTTCCGCTCAGCTGGCTTGAAATCAGAGGGCAGCTCCGGCTTGGGTCGGCGTAGTTTTCCAATAACATCTGCCTTTTCCATACCAACCATGGGATGATAGCACATTTCGAAAAATATGATACCCAACGAGTACATCTGCCCTCGGTTAGCCCTTTCAACCTCAAAGTGTTGCGTATCATGGCTTACATCGACTTTGGTGCTGTATAGCCCATTGCCAGCCGATCGAACTTCTGGAGCCGAGTAGTAAGCAGTGCCAATACTTCGAGTCATGCTGTCGTTTTCAAGACTATTGGCAGCGACTTTATCGACCGAAAATTGTCCGCTGGTGGCTAAGCCAAAATCGCCAATTTTGACATTATCGACTCCTTCAAGACTGCTGCTGATGAAAATATTTTCAGGCTTCAAGTCCCGATGCACAATACCAAGTGCGTGAATGTGTGACATGCCTTCCAAGATCTGTCGAAACAGCCTCCAGATCTCAGATGTGTTCTTGTACAGGTTGCGTGAGATCAAGTCCCGAAGTGTCTCACCAGTTAGCTCTAAGTGTTGTAAGTAGGAATATCATGTTCATGTGCTTACTCGCTTTTCGCAATATTCCATGGAAATATAGAGAATTGTCCGGAATGCACGATGTTGCCGTGCACGCCTCAGTATTTGTCCTGCACGTTCTTTGCTAGGTGACAAGACACCATTCCCAGCCTGATCTGCGACGATGGAGCTATCGTCATCAGAGTCGTCCTCAATGGCATTGTCATCACTGTCGTCATCATATCCAAACTCGATGGCAGCATTAGATGACATGAAGTCAAGGCCACCAGTGCTAGTCGCAAACTGGATGTCAATGCCATCAGAGACCGTTTCTTCCGTCTCCTCAGTGTAACCTTCAGTAGACGTGCCACCCTCAGTATCAGTAGCGTCGGGGACTTCTTCAACCCAGGTATTATAGTAGCGGACCACAGCTGGATGGCTGAGTTGTGACAGCAACCGCACCTCCTTTAAAATCTCAGTCAAACTGGCGTGAGATCGCTGGGTGACCTTTTTAATAGCATAGATTTGCCCATCAAGTTTCTTCCGAGCTTTTACAACCTCTCCAAAACCACCTTTGCCAAGGCGACCCTCTTCCACAAAGTCCTCAGTGTATCTAGAAACAACGGCCCCACGACTCATGGAGTCTCGCCTAAGCCTCGCAGGAACGACATGAAGCGATGTCAGAGATGGCGTTGCCGACAGTGGCCTGGAGGAATCAGACTCTGAGAAGACTGGCGCGTCAGTAGCCAGAAATTCACTTGAGCCAAGTTCAAATGGCCGAGGTCGCTTTTGCTTGTCTTCCTTGAAGAATCGACTGACTAGTTCTTCAAGCGGTTGCGAGAGTGTCAGCTCCTGCATCAGGTTTCGTGGCGACGAATACTTTTGCAGGACATCGAGGCCAAAGATCATTTGTATGAATACAATGCCAAACTCCCATACATCCGTCTTGTATGAATACTGTGGCTTGGATTGCCCAGCAATCTCGGGTGGTAGCCAATATGCCGACTTTGCAGAAGTCAGTCCTGGAAGCCCCGGGTTTGGGGTACTAGCATTATGAATTTCGCGCTGATACCAGCAATCAGACAACTTAGGGACAAACTCGCCCGTCGACTCTCGAAACAAAAGTACATTGTTCGCATGAATGTCTTGATGCGCAATATTCTTGGAATGCAAAAAGCTCAAGGCATCTAACAAGTCTCTAGTCCAAGACCGAACTTTGCCGAGTTCGAGATGGCCCGCCAGATCCAGAAGCTCCTCGAGCGAACCTTTCACCGCCATTGGCATCAATATCCTGACAGTCCAGAAATTTGCAACTGCCGCATCATCCGACTTCCCGCTTTCGACCTTGAAATCCAAAATATCGACTAAACGGTTGTGGTAAATTGACTTGGTATTCTTCAGCTCCTGAAGTCTAGACTCGACGGACTGCAGCTGCTTCTTGAACTCCTTGGGGTCCCTCCCGTTGGGTCGCAGGATGGCTTCCTTTAGTGCTAATGTTTGGTCGCCTTGGCCATTGCCCAGAACCGGTCGGACAGTGTATACGACAGTGACCTTGCCCTCTCGCGGATCGCATTTACCCGTCACCGATTTGAAACTGAGGATATTACCCTCCTTATTCTTCACATGACAAAACTGATCGAAATCGATACGTTCAATAGAGGCAGCAGAATTTTCGCTGGGTAAGCCTTCTAGTCCATTAGGCCGTCGACTGAGCCTCGATTCCTTTGCCTTTTGTCTTTGTCTGTCAATCTGTTGCTGGAGCATTTCCGACATGACGCGCTCCTCCTCCTTGGTTTCTTCCATCTTTTTCCGTTCCTCATCATCTTTCTGGCGCTGCGCCTTTTCTGCTAGTTTGACCTCGTGTCGTTCTCGCTCCTCTTCGAGGGAAGGCAGCTGCTTGCCGGATGCTTTGACTTGAGCGGCATCTTCAAGGATGTCACGAATGCCCTCGACAATCCTGTCGACCATTTCCTGTTGATCTTTGGCAAATTCCCGAGGTTCGGTGTCTATAAACTTCTGGATCTTGAACTGTGTAGATTCGCGTAGGCCATCGAGACCTTTGACAGTCAGAAGCGGTGGGGTTTTTGGGTACGTTGCCGTCATGACAAACCCAACAGTTACGGCAAAGTCGCTATCGATGGATGCTTTGATTCGAATGTCGAATGATGGCTCTGTCTTCTGAACCTGCTGTCAGTTGTGTGCAAGTCATACAGAAAGGGGAGCATAGAGAGACTTGAGGAGTCGGTGTGCGTGTCGGTTCTTTTTACCTTCCACGCGCTGTGCACATCACTGTGTTTCACGAAATCATCTCCATATATGGCTTCGAGAGCCAGCAGCTCGTTTTGCTGCAATTCGTCATATTCAATTTTTGCCGTTGCGTCCGGGGTCGTAGGCTTGAGGCCAGGGAAGCTTGAGTCATTGCTGCTTGCCTTGGGCAAGGACTTCTTCCATGCGCTAGATGCTTGCCACGCCATGATTGCGTGAGGTCCAAAGCGTGGTCACAGCTAAGCTGCGACTCTTTAGACGGAAGAAGCCATGGCGGTCCGGCTTGGAAGATTGTGGATAGAATATATGGTTAGAAACTGAGGTGGTGAAGAAACGAGAAGGCAAAAGCTCCATGTCTGCTCTGAAGGCCACTAGAGCACCAGTTGACCCGCTGTAAGCAGTCTGGTGTTCAAGATGGCGGGGTATGTCAACTGATATCCACTCCCACGCAGCATACCAAGGTCAATTTGACATTTTTCACTGCAACTAATATTCCAGAAAATCCCACAGGCCCAAGATACCTGCTAACATAGTTTTATTTAATTGTAACCCGTTTCCAGAACTTGACTAGGATGATTTACAATACCACTTCGTGACAACGCTCGCTTCTTGCGATACCCACCACTGCCAGGAAATTATTACAATCCGCAAACCCACGCCTCGCACTTAACCACAGGCAGTTAACTATTGTCCGAGTTCTCTGACTATGTGGTATTTTTACCTGCTCAAGCACCTTTCGGAGCGGGATACCGGACTTTGGCGGATAATAGTGGGGTTGGCTGTTGTTTAGTGTTGAGCGAACCATAAGGCCTCGAGGCCTTCTCACAAGAGTCCCCCCATTGACCAACCTGCCAAATACTGGCTGCTAGTTTCTTCGCAATTGACAACCAGAAACTCCTGTCCTATTCACGGCCGTCTTTCTTTCTTGAAATCTCAATGGACGAAAGACACTACCTGCGCCTCGCATATGCATCAATTTCCCCCTTTCGGTTTGTGCGGGGGAGGTAACAACGTGAGAGGCATGCAAGCTCTGTCAAAACCATGACTAGACCAACAGCTCAACTCCGGCATTGCAGAGATTGATGTTAGCAGTGCGCTGCCATTTGAGTCACAAACACTCTAACCGTAGAACCAGACTAGTCGTCAACCTTGCTGGTTTCGGTTCTTTCATCATGAGAAAATTTGTTAGAAGCACTTGCCTGATAGGAGCTCATAAACGTATGGCTTCACCTAGTCTTGCCTTGAACCGGCCTTCTTAGGAACCATTCTTAACCATGAATGATATTTACTTCTGGTCCATTCTGACTGGTAAGGAAGGCTGCACGTAAGGCGGTATGGTAATGTTTCTTGGAGCAGGCCATAACCAAGAAGGGGACACCGGATTGCCAAAAGCTGATTGTGTGGCGGACGTGGATTTAAATGGCCGCGAGGTTTGTTTATACTTGAGCGCGTTCTCACGTACAGATCCGGCATACTATTTTCGTGGCGAGGTCCAAATGGTTGAGTATGGTGGTTTTTCTCACCTGCACAGCCTGAGTGTCGCTAAGCGACATAGTCAAATGCGCGTGAACTCAAAGATAGCTGACAAAGTGATTGACCCCCTAATCTCAGCCAATGAGGTAACTTGGCTTTGGTCATGTTGACAAGGTGAACATGCCAATAGGGGAGCTGCACAAGAGCATTCACCCCAAGATCATCTCAACTCCTACGGAATCAAGACTTTATGAAGCGGGAATCAACAACCCTGTGTGGGCAACCCGTGGATGGACATTTCGGGAGCAATACTTCTCGAGAAGAAGGATTATCTTGGACGGAGACTCCATACGATGGGAGTGCTCCTCTGCGATCTGGCGGGAGCATGTTCAGCCGCCTTCACATCTAGACAGAGCGCAAGAAAACGTTATTGGTTGCGAGTCAATAGTCAACCCACGAATTCCAAGTTGAAGCGACATCGCTTTGATCCTGGAAGATTACAACAAAAGGAACTTCACCTTTCCCGGAGACTGTCTCTATGCCTTTGAGGGCATGTCGTTGGTCTTGAGCCCTCAAATGGCCGGTCGATTCGAGGGAGAGGTGTACAACCTTGCCACAATCACCTAATTTGGCCTAACGGCAGAATTCACCTACGACGGTCCTTCGTTCTATCCATACGTGTAGCCAGTGCGAAAATACGGTCTTCATACTATGAGACATGTTTACTTATAGAGTGTAAATAGAAGAGGATGCTCTTTATACTCATAAACAGTAACTAACTATTAATACGTAGCATGTAAGTATTTGAAAAGGATATGATCCTACTTTATTGCATCTCGCGTGGCGTGCTCCATGGGACGCTACCTGCATCTCCACAGGCCGGGAGCACCAATCAAATGACACAGGTTTGGGCGTAGGCTCAATACCCATAAGTTATCTGGCGTGCCTCTCTACTACCTTTACATCGTCCGTTCCAGGTCAGTCTCGGACGACTCTGCGCCATGTACCTGTTGCACATGCTTCTTGAAGGCATCTAAACTGGATAAGAAGTCACCAAAAAGCGCACATTGTGGATAACGGCAAACGAATCTTCCTTCGTCGCGCTCATGCCTAAGATGCACGTTCTCCACGTGGTCCATCATATGAGATACGCGCTTAAATGAGCGCATGCGCGAAGCGTATGGGAGCCGCTCTTCGCCCACACAAATTATGCACTGTGTTCTACCAAGAATAAGGGGTATTTCCTTGACTTTGATCTTGGGAATGGCAGCTTTGATGACGGGAAAGCCCGGGCGAATCCTACTTCCACAGAGCGAGGGTGATGTGGATGGCGATTGGACCGGAGGACGCACCTCACGACGAGATGCTAGACGAACCATGTCAACGGCCCGGATCTTGCGGTCTGTGAGGCCTTTTATACTCAAGTCTTGTCTGAAGTCGCTCAGTAATGTTTAATAGTTAGTTCAAGTGAGAAAGAAGTTTATAAATTACATTAGATGTTTTTACTTCGTAGAAACCGTCTATGACGGCGTCTTGGGCGAAGATGCTCCGAATTTATAGAATTTATAGGAATAGTGATGCTAAGAGACGATGTAGAGAGTTATTGGGCAACCAGTAACACGGGCCGGCAAATTCTCAGAGGCGAGATGTCTTATCAGACGACCTGGGCCGAGAGTAGACGGTGCGTCGGTCGCCTCGTCAATGTGTAGCGCGTTCAGTCGAACTGCGGGGATCCTATAGCGAACCACCGCAATTCAGCATTGCACATAATCAACTATGTTGAAACCCGACAGATGGTATCCCTGTGACTGGTGCCACCGTATTTCTAACACAAGGTTGGGGGCGGGGGGTGGGGGGGCGATCCTTCTGCGAATTGAAGGTAACTTTAAAAAAGATTAATCATGCTATTCACATCATCCCCCCATTATTTCCGATGGAAAGACAGTAACAGCCACTCGTTGGAAGCCTATCTAGGTTGCCAAGTGTCCAAGTAATACGTCACAACGTCACGCTGTGGGAGCAAAGCATTTTGATGTCTCCAAATTCCAGGTTTCTTCGTTAAGTCCAAGAAGCAACCTTCCGCACCTTTGCTTTGGAAAGGGCAAATAGAAACCTTGCTAGTCATGATATGGGCAATATCTTTCACGTTGAGCAGATGCCTTCCTGGCCTGCAAATTTCACGACAGGACTCCAACAAATAGACTCAACAGGTCCAAGTCGTGCAACTGGATGCCGAGTCACCTGCATTGAATAAGCGATTTCAATTTGACATGTAACATTCTGTTGCATTCCCATCAGCTGGGGTGCTGTCAGAAATACGGTGGCACTATTATGGGGATAAAGAATTGTTATTTATTGTTGTCTCTCCTCTTCTTGTTTGACTTGAAGAATTGAGGTCTTTTAGCGCAGACACAGCCTGAACTTGAATTCCCAATTCAACATCAAATAGATGACAATAGACTGATGAATGATTTGCAGCGCTTTAAAGTCAAATATGGATGAAAAAAAGATGTGTAAGATGTAAGGATGTGACGGGTGGGGGTCGACGGACGCCGGTTGCCTAACTCGTTTCTGCCCAATTTACGAGGTGGACCACAAGTTACGCAGTGTAGTTGCGCTGGCTTCCTATCTTCTTGTTTTGGTCCATGTCTGTGTACCTTCATTGAAGTTTTGGCTGAATGCAACACTTCTGATGAACTCTGGTGAATTACTTGCAATTCTTCATCAAGTAGGTACATATGTTTATCCACAAACTTTTGATTAAGTTCGCTCGGTGTTTGTTCGATGTCAAAGATATAGTCTATTTTCCACAGGGTTCGTGCAAACTCGCCTATCGAATGGTATTCCGGACATTGTTTTCACTTTGTCAGGAGGTTGTTGAGAATAGTCGGTAGGGTTAGTACTGGAAACTCCAGGTAACAATGTGGGTGCTTGTCTCTTTCTTATAATGACCAGCGCTCTACCTAGGGGCAAGGGCGCTTGAGGCGATTATGGGTGGGCGGGCAGGGAAAGGTAGGGCGCGAGTGATGTGTGGGTGCCCGACCCGTTCAAATCCGTGCCGCCGCCTCCCAACAAGCGGATGCGGCCAACGGCCCAGTCGCCAGGATGGAGCGTCTTGCAGGTGGTTGCCTTGCTCAGGAGAGTCTGGTGTTCACGACATTACTAAAACTGTGTTTCTTGGCATGGGTGTGTTGAATTATTGCTGTATCAACGCCTCCTGGCGCTGTGCAATGATTCCTTTTTTATCAGCCGCACAGTCAGCCGCGGGGGGAGAGTGGCTCCGTGAGAAGGACGGGCACTAGGGAGATGTGCGCGGGGTGGCGGACTAGTGGGAAACAGGCAAACAAGCGACATCAACTACACTGCAGAAGCCGTGAACGGGGGAAATCAAGGCAGGACCGGGCAAAAGAGGGAAAATACTGTGTCAAGGCCGATAGATGCAATCTCCTCAACTATGTCAAGTGGACGAGCCCCGTGTGGTGATAGCAACTACATGATTACACAGTATGGTGGGAAGACTGAACAGCCTCGTGAATGCCTTGGCTTTGGTGGGTGTTTTAAGGCAGGAGATGGGCGAAGAGGGCTGTTTATTTTTGGTCAAGGTTGGTTGACAAGCAACCTAGCTACAGTTACCCGGGATATGGCAGCGTCAGGGTGAAACCGAGCTCAATATTGCCGCGGAAATGGATGGCGAGTCTGCACATCGATAACGTAAGTGTGTCAACATCGCATGTTATTAAAAAGACCCATTCAATGCACAAGAATAAAAAAAAAAACTGGCGACAGTTACTGGGCCCAGGCCTCCCCACCCAAGTTTTCACGACCCCAACATCTTGCCAACTCCGAATTGGAATCCCTGAATATGCGCACCCAACAGCTTGATGGATGGTGATACTCCATTCAGGATTTTTAAATGGCATTCATCCACTCCCGAATATAGTACATAAATATCGACGAAGAGGCATTCAATCGGGACGCGACGACGCCGAGCGTTAGAGACATACTATACAATAACTTAGAAGTCCCATTCATCCCCCTTGAAACAAAGTAGTAAGGGAGCTGACTAGAATCACAAGATCGGCGTAACTTGTGGCCTTCCCCCTACAATTGCCTTCTTGCATTATCAAACCTATGCAGACCTCAGGGACGAAATCCATCGACCGAATGAACGGAGCAGTCCTTCTGGGAGAAGTTCATCCCATTCCTCATGAGTAACGTTATTCAAATGCCTCAAGCTTGGGAACAGCTGTTCAAGTACGCCTCTCCACGTCTCTCGCTCTGAAATAGCGCTTGACACCGTGAAATACGTCCACCCTTCAGTGAAAAGATGTTTGCTCAACATTGACAAAGCCATTGGCAGCACCACTACGGAGCCAGTAATGGGACCGGCTCTCTGAGTGGGCCCATCTACGTATGTCTGAAACCAATGCAGAGCCCTAGGCCCATGTGTGGTAAGCATCCTATGAATAGGAAACTTAGCTCGTTCGAGCGTTCCGGATAGTCTGCGGAGCAAAGCTACATCCCGCATCTGGTGTGATTGCTAAAAATGCAAAGCGACAGGCGATATCGTGACAGTTCCAAAATATAGGTCGATACGGAGGCTTGCTGTTTAAGCCGCGGTCTACTCTGATGAGCTCTTGCACTTTGAGTGTTCCATGGTTAGACGTCATCATGACAGACGATTAGAAGACGGGGATAACTCACATAAGACATCAAGTTCTGAATTCTCCCTATTAGTATGCCCTACAAACTAACTCTAGGGCCACCAGTCGCGCTACAATCGCCTCGTCCGCGACTCTTCCCACCGCATCCCTGGCTGGTGTCATGACAGGGCCAGAGTGCTCGTAGATTCTTCCTGATACCAGTTTTTGTCTCAATGTCAGTGCGGTATTGGCGCAAATACTCTCGTCAATAACAATTATGCCAATGTGACATCGAATGTCGAATGGTGTCTGTGAAATCCGAGGAAGAGAGGTTGTCTCGTTCAAATCTGTAAGGTCACCCCCCAGAAAACGGCCCTGTTGAAAGACACCAAAACCGCTTCCGGAGGATGATTGCAAGAATTCAACTAGGGATAGCGGCGATTGAAACATGAAGATTCGATATGCCCCTGCCGATTTTAGCTTCAATCTCAACTGAGCGTAGCACGCAAATACCTGTAGCAATTCAGCTGAAATCATGATTACCGTTGGGGGCGGATCTGGTACGAGGCGCAAAATCCTCCATAATTTTTCGAATTGCCACCGAATGAACTGGAAAGTTCGGTCGAAGAGTATGCGGAAGAGCTCGACAGCAGGTAGAGGCTACCCATAGGTTCGCGAACTCCGCGAATCTACAGTTCCAAGAGTTCGCGTTAATGACTAAGCACATTCCTGAACTTGGCGTAGACAGAGTTCGTGTAGTTGAAAGCTAAGGACCAACATCCCTCTGGCACCAGGAGCTTTTGATTAATCGTGGCCACATGAGATTTCTTGTAACATGCGATGGTGACACACCTATGTTATCGGTGTGCAGATTCGCCATCCATTTCCCTGTCGAATCTCGGTTTCGCACCAGCAGGTGGGCAACCTCCTCCGTCATGCTTTCCTTTGTCCACTGTCGTGGCCTTCGTGTTTGATTGGTTTAATGAGTAAATGCAGCAACTGCCTCAAATGCTTTTGTTTGACGTGATACAGCAAATATGGGGTCCGGATTGATTCCCCATTTAGAATGAGAGGCAAGCATTGCCAGAACCTTCAACAGCTCCAAAATTCAGGAACCAATGCATGAAACCTAGCGCGAGCGCTTGAAAAGTAGCCTCGTTCGCAAGGGTGAGCCTGTTCGAGGTCAATTACCCGGATGTCTTGACGCAATGTGGAGGCGAGTAGGCCGCCAGATGGCTAGATCATGGCAGTAATTCAATCGGAGGTTCTCCTCGCAATCTCCTGCTTCGACGTGAGACCGCTGTCACCGTGCCATCATCTTCAGACCGCTTGCGCTTCGGAACTCGCGAGATTTTGCCAGTGGTGGCGGTTGGTGGTGAGTCCGGGCAAGACGATGCAGGGGTTGACGGCCAGATGCGGTATGGTCCTGGGTGGCGAGGACGGGACTTTTTTCCGACAGTCTCCAGAAGCGAGAATTGAGTCGAATGCTCTCCACCATGTCTAGACTTTGGGTCGCGAGCTGGTGTCGGTGTTGCTTCGCTCCGGTGCTCGTCGTCGAAGGATCTCGGGCTACTCGGCTCACTGCTGGAGTCATAAATGCTGTGCGAGGCCCGGGCTTCTTCCCTTATAGCGTCTGGAGTATGGCCGATAAGATATTCTCTAGCTGCCGCCTCGCCGTACAAATCGCGTCGAATGCCTTGCCGGAACTGCACCAGGCGGAGCCTTTTCCTTAACTGGTCCGTGAAGTCATTGTCGGGGGCGAGGGGTAATAGTTTCAGCAGCGGAGAATGTTGAGGCGACAATCGTTGGTCAATACAAAGGCGTCTGGTCCCGTTCGTAGGGTCGTCGGACCGAGGGTGCGGTGTGCCGGTCGATTGCTTCTGGCGGGACATCTGTGACAAGGCATTCCCACTGCTATGAGGAACTTCTTGCATCCATCCAGCATTGGTTTGGAGGGAGACCGCTTGGCCATCCTGGAAGTTTGCAACGAATGTTTCTATTGGAGATTGATCCGGAAGAAGAATAATCCGTCGAGCAACGGAGCCTGCCCAAACCTGGGCCAATCATGCCACTTCGGGTTGTCAGTGTGTCGGTTGGGCTACCCACTCCACTCTGCTTGGTTCTTTGTGACTGAGAGCAGGAGAGCAGAAATAGCCGCATCATGGCTGATAGCCCGAGCAGTCAGCGAACGAACGAAGATCCTACAGGACCGACGTCCAGGGCCGCTCAAGCAATATTGACTTAACACCTAGCAATGCTGCCGCGAAGAGGGCTTTCTCCGACGTTGTGGGGTGGACACTTCAACGGTCGCAAAAAGACATCGAGGATGACAACAAGGCGAACTCAGGGTCACGCTCCCCAGATCCGAGGGACCATGCCAAGAAATTCATGTGGATTTCCTCAGAACAAACCAGTGATCCAGACGTCTCACGTTTTATCAGACAGCATCAAGTTGGCCAACTCTCGTCATCTGCAAATTCGTCCTTTGATGGCTCTGCTGCTCAGAAAGTCGAGCCCGAATCCGCGATACATATCTGGACCGGCTGTTTCTTCCTAGACCTTAATTATCGGCCGATTCGACCAGGCGGGGGATGGAGAGCCGGCAGGCTCAATGAACAAACCCTCAACGACGTCGTTCTGGCCGTTGACGATTCCAGTGCAATGGGCGTCAGAGTCAGGCACATCGTATTACAGGTCCATGAACAGAGTGGCAGGATCTATGTGCGAAGTGTTACTGACAAAGCCGACGTGGAGATGGACGGAATGAGATTGTCGCGTGGGCATATTCATGTCATGAACAATCGTTCCACTCATCTTCGCATTGGCCAATTAGCATACCACGTGGAGTACGCGCCTTTCGCTTGTAACGAAGAGTACAGCGAAGAGTACAAAAGCAAACTGAAAATTTACATTCAAACGGTCCTTGGAAAGCACCCATGGAAACCTTTGCATTGACCCCCACCCCTTCCTGGTCGACAAGGCTCACTGTAGGACAGTGGACAATCTCTAGTGCTGGGACAATTGGTTCTGGTGGTGGAGGGCGAGTTAGTGCGGCCATGAACAGTTCAGGTGATATTGTCGCCCTGAAGAGGATGACGGCTACCAAGGGGTCAAAAACCCTGCAGAAACGTATTAACACACTGCAGCTGCTAACAACACTCGCGGATGACGCGCAGGAAAATCGAATTTTGCGGCTTCGTGAAGTCATAACAGATGATCCCACAGGAAGCAACCCTTCATCGGATGTCTGGTTTGTGCTATTCCCGGCCTTGCCCGAAACGCTATATGATTATCGACATATGTCTTTGCCGTCAGAGCCGCAAGGGTCAGTTTTCTGCATGCTCACCTCCCAGTCCTTTGTTGATTCTGTGGTGATGAAGGCGAATACCTGCTTTCTGACTACGTGATTGCAGAATCAAGAAGACAACCAGCATGATTAAGTCAATTCTCGAAGCTCTCGTGTTCTTGCATTCTCGACAATGGATACACGGTGACATTAAACTTCCCAACATCGGTATGCGGGAATGGACCGAAACCAGTGCATCTGTAGTGCTGTTGGACCTGGACGATGCCATGTATACTCCGACAGGTCATGTGTCGGCAGCTGCTGGATTGACTGGAACTGTTGGTTGGCTATCTCCAGAGAGAGAACTAGACGGCTTCACGGCCACTAGCGTTTGGGCAGTCGGTGTCGTGGCAATATGGCTCCTTTTTGGTCGACATCCGTGGCCATGCCTCGTTAACCCGTGGCGTGCGGGCCTCGAGTGCGAGAAGCACCGGCCTCAATTCCACAAGAATTTTGGCAAAGCCGTCGCTGACATTCGACGACATAACTTGGATGGTATGTTCCCCCATGCTTAGAACTTCTGAGGGAGACACTGAGAAGTCAAAAGTGCTGGGAGAAGCGATTATTTGCATGATCAGGCATCCTTATGCCCTCGATGAGCGATATAAAGTGCCAAGATCAACCAGCCGGGAAGTGCTGGGCATTCTAGGCTGGGACAAGCCGTCTAACCAAGAGTGCCAGGAGCCACCTTCCAAACGATTATGTTGAATCCTGGCTGGATCCAAAGGGCTGTGCTTTGTTCGAAAATGGGAAGTTGATTGGCATCCTCTTGACGGAATAAATATGCCTCTGTCAACAGAACAAGCAAACTTGATGTAACCATTTGTTTCAGCTTCTTCGGTGGACTTTGCAAGACGGGGGCGTTGACGATGACTGCAAATCGTTGATTCGCTCTGCCCTCCCAATTGTTGCAGGCCATGCGGGAGAACCGGTGTCGAGGCAGGAGGCTGTTACCCAAGGAGTATATACGGAGCCTTCCGCGCGAGAGCCGGACCATAGACAGGTTGAAGAAGAAGTAGTGCAGGGGTGGCGGCTTCTTAGTTTTGATGACAGGATCTATGACGATGAGCCGGTGCGCGATTTCACAGCCTGCGACCAGGAGTGCGGGTATTGTGGACAATGCGACTATTAGGGTGCCAATGGTGACCCAAAGGGTTTGGGGGTTGGGGGGGTTGGGGGGAATCACAGTGTGCATGGTGCTTCGCAATCTTAAAAAAGGCATAGGACTTGAACCAATGCCCCGTCCAAATCTTCCAAATCGTCCAGAAGTTAATTTTCCAGCGACAACCGTGTTTTCTTGCATACCAAACTCCCATAATCATCAGCTTTTCGTAAAAGCCCGCGTTTCCCACGTCTTTCTTCGTTTCTCCGTTGGAGCAGTCATGCAAAGACTGGAGACGTAATTGATATGTGTTCCTCGTCTTTAACTGAATTTACACTGGCATAAGCTGGTTAAGAATATTCTGACTCGCTTGCCTGGGTTACCTTAATTATTAATAATTTCTTAAGTGTAAAAAACACCATAAAGTTACCCCTATTAGCTTAGTATATTATAAGTAAGAATAAATAAAGGTTTATATAAAATATTAGGTTTTTACTTAAATTTATGTGTTATATTTAGTTAATTTAAGTCTAGCGCCTATATTATGCTAAATTGTGCGTTAAAATTAAGGTCAAAAGATTGACCCTAATTCCGGGAATCACACCCTGACGGCAACTGCACATTCATTCAATGTTTACTGTAAGCCTGCCGCAGGGCTGAAGACATGGAGGACAGGCACAGGGAAATACTCCGTACATGTACCACCTGGTTGACTTAAACCAGACATTTGAACCGCCTCAACCATGTCGGCGGTGTACTGTAGAGACAGCATTGGCACGCATATGCTCACATGTTTCAATGTTCCGGTGAATCTACATAACGCTTCGGTGATCCTGCCACTTCCGGCAAGTTTAGCAAGGCAGCCTGGTGCATTTTGTTGCTTGTGGTCATCGGAAGAAAGAGTTGTAGAGCACATGTCGCGGAGAATTTGCAAAGTCCATCTGCTGGCATGAGAGAGCACGAGTCCAGATTAAATGCCCTTTATAGGGCGTCTTCGACAATTGTTACCGACCCAAGCGAACAGCAAATGTTTTAAGTCCCTTGCGGTCAAAGCGAACCAGGGGCCCTACCCACATCAAGACTCAACCTTAAAGAGTTCCCACCTGGAATGGAAGCCTGGCATGGCACCTGGCAGCCGTAGAGCCAGTCGACGCAACAACAACAACAAACAACAGACGCCTATAACTCACACACGCACCCCCTTTGTGCATCCATTACTGCGGACGCTCAATGGATGTGTTCACTATTCAGAGATAGTAGGCATAGCTCTTTGCTTCCTTTTTTTTTTTTTTTTTTTTTTTTTTTTTTTTTTTTTTTTTTTTTTTTTTTTTTTTTTTTTTTTTTTTTTTTTTTTTTTTTTTTTTTTTTTTTTGGAAATCCATATTCCTTATTCGCATCTTGCCATGCTCGGGTGGATGTTGAAGCGTGGCGAGAACGCGCCACACGCGGATGACGGAGGTTCGATGCCCACGATGTTTTTTTTTCTAGCCATTGCTCTATTGTCTCCGCCGGTTCTGCATTCTTGCCTGCCGTGCTGAGTCCTTTTTTTCAGCAATCAAAGGCTCTAACACATTGATTACATGCAGATACCACGCAAATAGATCAGCCGGACACACCGGCACCCGTATTTGCTGCCAGGGCCTTCAAGAGCGCGCTGTTTGGCACGCCGTCAAAACGAAATGAAGAGCGACGGGGATTTCGAAGTGCGGCATCGAGAAAGCCCACAGCACGGTCGTCCGGGACGCCATCAAAGCCGCAAGGTATACTTCTCACTCCAGGAACCGCGACATCCAAGAGGAAGCGTGTTTCCTTTGGCCATGACGTGCCAGGTGGCTCCACGACAAACCTCACAAAAATCACTGAACAAGACGAACCAACCGAGGCACGCCAACCAACAGCTCCAACCCACGCCCCGACCAAAACCGCAGAATCACAATCACGAGTTGCACAGCCCGAACCCAACGTGTCAGACGATGAGTGGGAAGAAGAGGATGAATGCGGCTCCCATGACGTTACGCTGGACCTTAATGAACCGCACTCGCAATCTGGTCGGTACTGGAAAGAGGAATTTCTCAAGTACCACCAAGAGGCGAAAGCTGAAATGGAGAAATTGCTCAAGTATAAGCAACTGGCAAAGTCTTACGCACAGCAAAAGGACGCCGAGGCGATTGAACTTGCCGAACGATTGCGAGACGAACAACAGCGCGTCATCAGAATGGAAAAGAGGATTGCAGAAAATGCATCTCAAATTGCCGCCAACCGAATGGAGCAATCAGAGGAGGTCCAAACGGAAATGCTGGCAAAACTCACCAAACAATCATCACTAGCTGCACAGTACCGTCATCGGGTCCAGGAACTCGAGGCTCAGATGGAAGAATTGCTCACACAACGAGAAAATGGAGCCGGAATTGAGACGCCCCGCCGCCGATATACCTCCAATTCTTCTATAGCAGCTACACAAAAAGCGCTCACGGAAACTCGGCGAGAATTGAGACGAGCACGGTCCCAGCTGAAAGAACTGGACACATTGCGAGATGAAGTATTTACACTCAAAACCCAGTTGAAGAAGGCAGAATTGAAACTAGTCGTCATCGAAAAGGAGGAAGCACGTACCAGCAATGGGCCGCGAGCCCAGGAACTTCGGACTTTGCTCAAGGCAGCCAAGGATGACTCTCGACGGAAAGATGAAGAGATACGACAGCTCAAGAGTGAGTTCGAGGCATTTAGAAAAGAAAACGAAGTTCACGAAGCCGATACCAAGGCGGTCCTGGAACGGGCTCACAACAAGATTGCCAACCTCAAAAAGGAGGTGAAGGCTCTCAAGTCTGCAGCTCCAGCACAACCACAAGCCAGACCGCACAGTTGGCATCCACAGAGCATTGGCGAAGAAAGAATGAAGGAATCAAAGTCAGACGAACCTATTCAAGCCAAGGTAGAAACGGCCGAAAGACGAAGCTTAGACGAGTCCCTAGACATGACGAAGAAACGATCTCAACCACGCACATTGCGCGAAAAATTTGTGGATGATGCTACTTTGGCTCCGAAGTCAGAATCGCCCAAGGTAGCAGAACGAGGGAGTCTCGGCAAATCTAAGTGGCAGCCATTTGTTCCTCGATCTCCCAGACACCGCGTCTACACTGCAGAAGATGCAGTTAATCGTCACACTATGTTGAACAAGTCCAAGGAGATTATAGCACCAGAGTTGCCTCCTTTGGCCAACGCTGCGAATCATGAACAGAGTGGATGGGCATCCACCGCAGACCCTCAGGTTGATCTCCTGTCTAACCGATTTGCCAGACTAGGAGGCCCGGGACCAAATGCCCAGATAAACAGCTCTCTTGTGGGCAATACATCAAAGAGCACACTGCCGCCGGAAAGACGAGCAGCCGCTCTCGAGAGAATTGAAAAGAGAATGGCTGAGAAGAAGAGGCTCCGGAACCGAAGTGGCGCCCACAACAAGGAGAATGTGCGGCCTTAGACTAACCGGGTGTATTTATTTCATCTCTTGTTTTTGTCAAATCCAGCAATTTGAGCATGGCGTTCAGGAAAAGGCTTTGATTATAGTATTCTAGCAGTTTGTTGTACCTTTAGGCAGCTCATTACCTTTTAGCTTCCTTCCATCAACATTCCCTAGCAGGTATCCATGATCGGATGTGTCCGCTAGTGCCCGTTGCCGATGCCACAAATCTTGACCCACCTCCGACTTCACGTAGACTCTTATCTTTACAAAGCACACTCCTTCCAATGGACTCGAAACAGGAAACAGTAGATTCGCGAGGCATAATTCAAGAAGAAATAGCCGACTTGGAGCGCCGTCTGGCAGCAGCCAAGACACGTCTAAGCACACCACCAAAGGGATCCGATACACCACAACCTTCACTTCAATGTAAGTGCCTCACTCACCAGCCGGCACAAGCAACAGAAAATCTCACATGACCAAAGCACCGCTCAACTCACCAACACACTACCTTCTCCTCCTCTCCGACTCCCAACTGCCCATTGGCTCATTCGCATTCAGCAGCGGGCTAGAATCATACCTCGCGCACAACCGCCGCGCCACATTCTCCTCGTTCCTCCCGCTCTCACTCTCCTCCTACGCCGCCACAACGCTGCCCTTTGTCCTCGCCGCCCACCGCGACCCTTCCTCTCTCATCGAACTAGACGACCAGCTCGACGCAGCGGTCATATGTACCGTCGGCCGGAGAGCCAGCGTCTCGCAGGGCCGGGCCCTCCTGTCCATATGGGAGCGCTCGCTTAGAGCCACGCTCCCCAAGAGCGCCGACTTGCCGGTCCTCCGCAAATTTGCGACCTTGCTCAAGGATGGCGGGTCTGCGGATGGCGAAGCGCCGCCCGCTTCGGCACACCTGGCGCCGCTGTTTGGCGTAGTTTGCGCAATTGTAGGGCTGACGCTCCGCCAGACGGCGTACGTGTACATGGTGAGCCACCTCAAGGCGGTGGTGTCGGCGGCAGTGAGGGCGAGCATGTTCGGCCCGTACCAGGCGCAGAAGGTGTTGGCCGGGGAGCAGGCGCAGAGGTGGATTGGGCGGGTAATTGATCGGGAGTGGGAGACGATGGTCGACGAGGCCGGGCAGAGTGTGCCGGTGATGGATTTGTGGATTGGACGCCACGAGGTTCTATACTCGAGGATCTTTAATAGTTGACCCGGGGCGGAACTGGAAACCTATACTGGGATGGTGTCTCGTTATATTGGTATCATTATTGTATAAAATACATTGTGTATATGTTCCTTGCCTCCCCCACCGCAGAAAGAAATCAATGAGAATACAAACGCCTTATTCGTCATCGCTATCGCTACCATAAGATACAAGAGGCCCTGTAGAAGCAGCCGCCATGGGCTTTGACGTCACAGCTACTTTAGCTTTGTTGAGTGCTGCCAGCGTAGAGCTGGAAAATATACCGGCCTTTTCTGGCGCTGGAGGTGGTGGTGCTGTTGTGCTTTCGGGTTCTTCTGTCGACTGGCCATTTTCGAGCATCAACGGCTTTTGGTAGTCTACAGGCAAACCTTCATAGCCCTGAGAATTGACTACGTTTTTGCCCCGAGCGAAATGCACCTCGTCGGGTGCCTCGTACCCTTCCGAGCCGTAACTGCTTTCGATGCGTCTCCGTTTCCTGGCTTCAGGGTCTTTGCCTTCGATTTCAGCCACAAATTCCGCAGGTAGCGCTCTGCGAACAGCTTCAGCAGCCTGTTCCTCGACTCGCCTTGCCTCGCGTGCTTGGGCCATAGGGTTAGGATCGGCCGTGGCCCATCGCACGTTGAGGATCTCGTCGTGGTCGAGGGACTGGTGGGCCATGGCTTCTCTGGCGAATTGGGCGTTGGCCTCGTTGGTGTATGTGATGAAGGCGACACCTCGCGAGTTTAAGACGCGGACTGCAGACATTGTTAGTTGGTCCTTTTTTTTTTTTGGCTCCGTTGCGCAGCGGACGGGCGTCACCTACTTCGTTCAATCTGCCCCCATTCCGCAAAGTGGCGAGCCACAATCTCTTCGATATCGTCCGTCACATGAATGCGACCCACGTAAATTGTTCTATTCTGGCGCATGAAGCTTCCGACACCACCCATATCGTCTCTGTAGTCGCTGAACTTTTCGCGGCCAAAGCAGTCGACATTTGGGTTGAAAAGGTCGAATGTCCCCGGTAATCGGTGCAGATTTGTGCAGTCTTGTCCCCGTGGGCAGATTCCCCGTGCAAATCGTAGGCAGAAATAGCTTCCCGACACATTATCAGCCGTGGTGTAGCCGGCGTCCGTCGCAATGATACATCGGCCCTTGGCCTTGGTCTGCTGGTATGCTTCTCGATCTCCGCCCGCCCACTTGTTGAACCAGATGTTGTATGTCGTTCCAGTCTGTGGTGGTGCCTCCGACGCGAATTCGCTAGGATCAATCTGCACTCTCGCAGGCTTCTTCTTTTTGCGAACAATCTTCTTGACAATCTTCTTTTCTCCCGTAGTTGCGACCGCCGTCGAGCCGTCTGTCGCGCTCGCAGGCGCGATCTCCCCGTGTTCTTCCTGGTCCGTCATGGTTCTGGTCGTGTCGGAATCGCTGGTGGCAGACTCTTTGGCAGCGGCAAAATGAAGGCGACGCTTCGCGACTCTGGGTGGGTGGAAAGTTCTCGGCAACGTCAGCCTGAAGTGGTAGGCGGTGAATAAGACGTGCGATGCATTTTGGCCCCGCCAAGTTAATTCTGCCCGACATACACCGTAAACACCCCACCTATCCTCGAATCTGCCTGAACCTCGATCCATCATTTCAAAAAAGCCGGCATCTTTGAGCATCTGGGCAGACGGTACGCCGTCTATAAATAAAGGGAACCCAAATGGTCAACATTACGGAGAAAATCAAGGAGTTAGTGGCCCCATCTGTCAGTGGTTGAGCTGTGCTGACCTGCGCAGGATTGAGGATGAGATGAGGAGGACTCAAAGTAAGTGTGTTGAAAAACGTCCCCAACTTGACATCTGATGAACTTAAGCTGGTCAAATGGCTCATATTGAATGAAGTCTCACTCGTCTTAATCTTATTGAAGCCATGCTGACGTATCGCAGAAAATAAGGCCACAGGTATGAAGCGCAAACTCACTGAAACGACATCCGTTGACAAATCAAAGAATATCACTTGGGTCTATTAAAGGGGTGCGTTACATGCGAGAACATCCATCTTTGCGTAAATTTCTAATGATGCCTCAGTAAACTTGCCCGTCTTCGAGCACAATTACTGGAGCCCGGCCCGGGAGCTGGCGGCGGCGGCGGATCCGGCTTCGACGTCAGCAAAAGCGGCGACGCGCGCATTTCTCTTGTTGGTTTCCCGTCTGTCGGTAAATCAACCTTTTTATCAAAAGTCACCAAGACGAGATCGGAAGTTGCCTCGTACGCGTTCACCACACTCACAGCCATCCCTGGTGTTCTCGAATATGGCGGCGCAGAGATTCAGCTCCTCGATTTGCCGGGAATCATCGAGGGAGCCGCCGAGGGCAAAGGTCGTGGCCGTCAAGTCATTTCGGCAGCCAAGACGAGTGATCTTATCCTGATGGTGCTGGATGCCACGAAAAAGGCTGAGCAGAGAGCCCTCTTGGAAGCCGAATTAGAGGCTGTAGGCATCAGGTTGAACCGCGAGCCACCGTACGTTTCATTCCCTCCTGCACTATCCCGCGCACATCATCTAACGACACGCAAGGAACATCTACTTGAAGCCCAAAAAAGCAGGCGGCATGAAAATCACCTTCCAAACACCGCCCAAGAACCTCGACGAGAAGATGCTCTACAACATACTGCGGGACTACAAAATCCTCAACTGCGAGGTGCTCGTGCGCGACGAAAACGCCACAGTTGACGACTTCATCGACGTAATCATGAAGGACCACCGCAAATATATCAAGTGTCTCTATGTGTACAACAAGATTGACAGCGTGTCACTCGACTTTTTAGACAGCCTGGCGCGGGAACCGCAGACAGTCGTCATGAGCTGCGAGTTAGATCTGGGAATTCAGGATGTGATTGATCGATGCTGGAAGGAGCTGAAGCTGATTAGAATATATACGAAGCGCAAGGGCGTTGAGCCGGACTTCAACGAGGCGTTGATTGTGAGGAGTAATAGCACTATTGAAGACGTGTGTGATCGGATCCATCGCACCTTGAAGGATACTTTCAAGTATGCCTTGGTTTGGGGAGCGAGCGCCAGACATATTCCTCAGAGAGTTGGGTTGGGACATTCGGTAGCGGATGAGGATGTGGTTTACATTGTGAGCGGGTGGCGAGCGTAAATAGGATGCATGGATGGCAAACAGCAGGCAGCATAATGTTCACGTGCTCTATTTACGCGAAAACACTTCCACACGCCCGCAAGAAGCCAGTACTGACAGTCCGAATGCGAAGCCGAGTCATGCCACTCAGTACCATTCCCATACCAGCATGGACTACTACAGCATCACAGCACAACGCATTATCAGTTTCAGCATGGATACGAAGTTGATCATCATGAGAGAAATACGAAACCAATCCAACAATCAACCCGCCAACCCCAATATTCATCCAACCCCATCGCGCTTAACATAATCACTATCAGCCCAAACCAAAAGGGCAATATCCTTGTCCCTAATCAAAGCTAAAATCATCATGTGTGTTCATGAAAGTTGTCTCCATAACGCCAGCCTTTTACCAAGTCCGTTCCCCAACAAGCATTCCTCTTCCCATTATACTGTATCAAAGGGGAGGGGCCGCGGAACAAGCAAGCACACCAAAACTCGGAAAACAAATGATGTACAGGTTTGTCCAGCGCCTCGATCACTGCTGGATAGACCGGGCGCCGAGCGCATTCTCGCCATTGAGTTTCTTAGCACTCGCCTGGGCAAAGAGAGACTTGGGCTTGGCCCTGCTACCGCATCAGCAAGACAGAGTTCGTTACCCAGCGTGCAATAAGAGAAACAAGATCGCTAAAAAAAAACTTACTTGCTGGCATGCTTATTTCGCAGAGCGTTAATCTTGGCCGTACAAGGGCTCATGATATTATCCGACGGAGAAACATATTGCTTGGTCCTAAAGGCAGCATCAGCAAGCCTGCTGGCGGCGGCAGCGCGGGGACCGAGTCGTCCACGGGCTGAGGCGGGCGAAGAAAGAAGAACGTACGTCTCAGCAGCCATCTTGGACTGGAATACCTGGCGGTGGTACTCCATGCTCTTAACGTCCTTGGCGGCGTTCTGCTGGTCCATGGCGGCGTTGACGTCCTTGTCACCGAGAACGGCTGACATTGTTCTTTTCTTTCTTTTGAGGGGAGAAGGAAAGGAAGGAGGGCTTTTGTTGGCAAAAAGAGATGTATAACGACCAGCGTGAATATGTTTCTGCGTGCGGACTTGTCACAAACTTTGTTAACAACAGCGGAAGCAGCAGCATCTAAATATTCACGTCGAGAGAGGGCAGCTTACCTGGTGACCGGTGCGTTATTATTGTGATTTATGCGCGGATGTGGTTGTCAGAGCAGAAAGAACAGAGAACAGGGCCAGGATGCTGTCCTGTTATACAATAGCCGGCGTTGTATGCACAAGGATTGGGGGAAAATCAGATGAGCACCTTGAGACGCCACGCTGCCTGGCTTCGGGAAAGTAAATGGATGGTCCATTTTCGGGCCGTCGGCAGGGCAACGGGGTGTGGCCCACAAAAGAGTCATCGCTGGCTGCTGTGGCATGCGAGGCCATTGGTTCCCCATCCCCTCCGTACTGGGAGTGGTTGGTCTTCAGCGGCCCTCGTGAGATGCCGTCGGATGGGAAGCACCATTTGAAGCGTCTGGTCGGTTTGCGATCGCCACAAAACAAGACGCACGGGGCAGGCTGGCCATGTCGGCAGAGCTGTCCATGTTCAGGGCCGGAACTTGTGCGAGACGCAGCTTGCCGCGTGAGTCTGATTCGTTGACGGCGGTGTGTTTTGTGCGCCGGATGTTGTGGTCCAACCAATTCATGGTGGATTGGAGCAGTCGTGGACGCATACGGAGTGGTATGTAGGTTACATCATGTAGTTGCCTGGTGCATGATGGATGTGAGTATTATTTATCATGGATGAGTCAGTGTTGTCAGGGTTGTCAAAGTGCAGAAAATGACAGCCCATGATTTGAGCCCGGAATGCCAGGTCAGTTCATCGCCAATCCCGGCCCAATACAGTGAGAGGCAAAAAGCATTCATGTCTAGTAAGCAGATGCATTCTGCCATACATGTAGATGGATGAATTGTCCGCGTGTTAACCGTTCAAGGCCGCCTCGACTGTGGACTTTGCATTGACACGGCCATTCAAACAGCTCGTCACGCATTGTAAAGACCATTCATTCACACAATCAACACCATAGATACAATTTGCCTATACTAGGACTATCATCGTTGTTTTAAATCTTGGCGTGGCGAATGTTGGCACCCGGCTGAGCCGTCTGTGTGCCGTACTTCTTCATCAAACTCGCCGTCTTCTCCCGCTGCCACTGAATCTTCTGCGATGTCTCCTTGCCACGCTTATTCTCATTTCGGCCCATCTGTTGCAGGTGCACCTCGTCAGGGCCATCAGCCAGTCTCAACGTTCGGATCCTAGCCCACGAGTTGGCAAGTGGTGTATCCTGGCAGACGCCGGCACCGCCAAAGGACTGAACGGCGCGATCAATGACAGTCAGCGCTGTCTGGGGGACGAGAACCTTGGCCTGGGCGATTTCCTTGAGGGCCCTCTTGGGGCCCAGAAGGTCCATCTTGTGCGCGGCGTTGAGGACAATTAGACGCGCAGAGTCGATTTCGATGCGGGACTTGGCAATCCATTCCAGGATGACGCCGTGCTCGCGGAGAAGCTTTCCAAAGGGCTTCTTGCGATCGTCGTTGACACGCATGAGCATCCACTCGAGAGCGACCTCGGACTAAAAGCTTGTCAGTTCCCAAAGTCAAAAACAAGGGTGGCAGGGTGGAGAAATATATAGATATATATAAACGTACAGCGCCAATAGTTCTCATGGCGTGATGGATTCTGCCGGGTCCCAAACGACCCTGAATAATCTCGAAACCTCGCCCCTCGCCGAGCACCATGTTGCTCACCGGAACCCTGACGTTGGTAAAAGTCAAGTGTCCATGGCCGTGGGGCGCATCATCATATCCGTAGACCTTGAGCATCCTGTTAATCTTAATGCCGGGCGTATCGGCAGGCACCAGCACCACGCTCTGCTGCCTATACGGATCCTTATTCGCCTTGTCGGTCTTGCCCATAACAATGTAAATTTCGCAGCGAGGATCGCCAGCGCCGCTAGACCACCACTTTTGTCCGTTGAGCACGTACTCGTTGCCCTCGCGCTTGATGTCCAACTCAATGTTGGTAGCGTCTGACGAAGCAACCTGGGGCTCCGTCATAAGGAAGGCAGAGCGAATTTTGCCATCCATGAGAGGCTTGAGCCACTGCTGCTTCTGGGCGTCATTGCCATACTTGGCGAGGACTTCCATGTTGCCCGTATCGGGAGCAGCGCAGTTGCACGCCTCGGAAGCACTTCGTGAGCGGCCGAGCCACTCAGCCATGATGCCGTATTCAAGATTAGTCCAGCCAGGGGATTCCTTGTAATGGCCCTTGGGCAGGAACATGTTCCAAAGACCGAGCTTCTTGGCCTTTTCCTTGAGTTCCTCAATGATGGCCGGGTGATTTTCCCACCGATAATCACCTTGGCCGACCTGGGCCTCCAAGACTGGGTCAGCCCTGCCGCATAGTCAGTTGAAGCCGAAGCTAAATGTGGTCGTGACAATGGGTGACATGTTGAGGTCTCACGGGATGCACTCTTCCTCGACAAATTTGGCCACCACATCAATCATCCTCTTGGCCTCATCGCTCACCAAATGTGAGACCTGCATAGGTCAGCATCGTTAGTCAGGGAAGTGTAACAATCAAGCTTGTCCAATGAACAGCAGCAGCACCTACGACATCCGGGATTTTATCAGACATATCTGCAATTTCGGTCACACCACAGTGAAGAAGTAGAAGTAGAAGTAGAAGTGTACCAAGACGGCCAGTCTAGCAACGAAGGCTGAAGATACTTGACGTCGATCAGAATGACGGGAAAACCTGGGGTAGAGCGGGTTATGGTAGATGGGCTTGGCGTAAACAAATAGGGCCAGGGGAAAATCCGTCAAAGCTACCAGACGGCTTGGATTGGCATTCTTAAGTAACAGGAGAGGAGGAGAGAAGCCGAGGTTTCTGGCTATTCATCAACGCTACTTCGGTCTATCTGGTGTGGACGCAGGAGTATCGAGCCACTCGGAGCAGGCTGTCCAGAATTGCCCCTTGTCTGGGGAACCGACAAGGATTTTGGATGCCTCGGCCTCGGCCATTGTGGGTCTGCACTAGGCCATCCATGGTCCACTTCAAGCTACCCTGCAGCATATCCCCTGCCATCATGCCACATTGCGGGCGAGATATTTTGATCCCGTCTACATCATTTAGTCGTCAGTCATTCCACCATGGACCCTTCGTATGATTCTCCAAGTTTGTAGCCGAGGATATGGAGCTGGTCCCCATTTGGATCAACATCCCGGTGTACTGACTGACATTTGTCACCCGCACTACATACCTCGTCTTTCACCTGTCGAGATAAATACACTCTAATCAACTCTATGCAATGCGTGAAGCCTGGAAAGCGATTTCCATATTTCAATCGATGGCAACACCTAATTAACCCCGAACTCAAAAAGCAGTGCATAACAAGTCAGGATGAGACAACAGAGCAAACAGGAGGATGGACCAGAAAAAAGGGGAAAGGAAAATATTCATGAGAAACCCAAAACAAAAATGAGCCTTCGACATCCAGTGTTCCACACCCATGACGAGTCGAAACAAGATGCCCTCTTCAGGTGCGGATAGATATGCTGCTCTAGACACGTTCTGACACATATGCCCATTACACTCCCACCCATTGATTATCATTCATGTCCCCTTAACAGGCACAACCATCACGGTCGTTGTCGATGTGGATGTTGATGGGGTCGTCGAATTCGCCGCTAAACTCCTCCGACTCTTCTTGTGCGAGAGCGTTTCGGGCAATGACTGTCTTTTCTTAGTACATATATCACCTTTGTTTGCGGAGTGACATCCTACCCTCGAAAGCCTGGTCAATATTGATGGCCTCCTTGGCGCTAGTCTCAAAATACGGGATATCCCCTTTGGACTGGCAAAAAGTCATAGCGCGCTTGTTTGAAATCTACTACATGTTAGGCTTCATTCATCCGGAACAAGAGCAGTCATCACATCATACCACTCGTTTGCTCTCCTCCACATCAATCTTGTTACCGAGAACAACCTACACAGGGTAAGCCGACATCCTACAACCCCAAGCCCAAATCAGGACTTACAAATGGAAAGTTGGGGGGATCCCGTGGTGAGGCCTGGATCAGAAACTCGTCCCTCCAGCTGTCGAGAGCCTCGAAGCTCTTGGCATTGTTGACGTCGTAGACGAGAACACAGCAGTCAGCACCACGGTAGAACGCGACTCCTAACGACTGAAATCGCTCCTGTCCAGCAGTATCCCAAAGCTATTGCGCATCAGCAATTAACGTTGTCGGTCCTGGATGCTGATGATAACCCGTCCAACCTACCTGCATTGTGACCTGTCTGTCGTCCACCATGACCTCTCGTGTTAAGAAGTCGGCGCCGATGGTAGCCTTGTAGCTCGCGCTAAACTTCTTCTTGACCTGATACCACCAATATCCATCAGTATACTCTGCGTAGTTGTTGTGCCGGTTTTTTTTCTTTCCTTTTTTTTAGGGGG